CAAACATAACAATCCATACAAATCAAGCCAAGTTGCACAAACAACTTCACTGGAAGGGGTAGGAGAGAGAAAAAAGAAAAGGAAAACATAAGAAAATGCATGGAAAAATATATATACATCAATATATACATATGTTTAAATACTACTGACTACTACTAAAGATATCTAAAGTCTCGAGTAAAATACTAATCCCTACTACTACCACTAATCCTAGAATACTAAACAAATTCTCAAAACCACAATAAATCACTGCCTAACCAAGAAATTAGCCAATTAAAAATAACGTGCAATAAAAATCATCATTGTAGAACCAATTTATCCTACACAATGAGCAGAACGAAGCCATTGGTCTACCTATACAACATCCACATTGATAACAATAAAGTTAACACACCCCGCTAAGGCCCCAAATAGAGGTAGACACAAAGCAAGTGACTCAACATGACGCTGTAAGAAACATCACACACATTAATTTTACAGCAACCTAAAACTCAGGCAAACTAAAATACACTCATTACTGTCTAAGACTAACACAACAAAATTACTTGTGACTGAGCCCAACTTAGTCATCGTGGGGAACCCACAATAACAATACTTTAAAATAATTAAGTAAAATACACAAACACACTCAAACCAGTTTGGGAAACCATCCTAAACATAACGACCTAAACCACTTGTGTAATAGATTGAAATAATTGTGAGGTCAAGGGAACTCACTCTTCTGTATTAGTTATATTGATAATATTCTTATCTTGAGTGATGTCCCTTGTGTACTTCCTTCCGCCTCTCTCTGGTATTACCATCATGATGTAGTTAGACCCATTAAATGTGTTATATACAACCACAGGCTTCTGTCGTCAATCTATTATAACTGGCGACGAAGGATAAACATCTACTAGAAAGAGCACCTACTTACGCAAAAAAGAGGTTTGCTAGAGCTTATTAGCTAATTATTTCTAGAATTATGGCGCTGTATGGCCAAATAAAAGAATTTGATGCGAATGATGAAATCATTCAAGATTACCTAGAGAGGTTAAGCTTTTACCTAGAAGCTAACAACTTGACGATAGAAGCCAAAAAGAGAGCTGTTTTGTTAACAGTCATAGGGCCTCAACAATTTAGGCTACTAAAAGACTTATGCACACCAGCTAGTCTAACTACCAAGAGCTTTAACGAGCTGAGCAAATTGCTAACAGACCACCATGCGCCTACCCCATCAAAGTTTTTATGTAGAGCTAGATTTAACGGTAGGACTCGTCAACCAAACGAGTCAATATCAGAATATGTTGCTGCTTTACGTCATTTAAGTAGATTTTGTGAATTCGGAGACACGCTGTCTGACAGATTATGTGAAAAGTTTGTGACAGGTGTAAACAGCCCTGATATTCAAAGAAAGTTGCTGCTCGAGTCAAATCTAACATTAGAAAAAGCAATACAACTTGCAATGTCATTCCAGCAGTCATCAGATGCGGCGAGATCTTTAGCACCTTCAGGGATCCATGCAGTAAACAGCAGGTTAGTCAACAAACATCAACCCCATCAGAGCATTCCAACTTATGCTAAACAGCCTGCTCGTTCAAATCCTAGATCTAAATCTAGTAATAATTATCAAAAATGTCATCGATGCAAAGGTCCCCATGCATCTCATCGGTGCAAGTTCAAGTCTGCAACTTGTTATAAGTGCAGTGAGCAAGGTCACATTGCTAAGGCCTGCTTTGCAAAGTCTTCGTCTGTTGCTAAATCTAGCCAGTCAAGACAGTACCGCAACCAAAGGCAGCACTATGTTAACTCTCACCAAGACTACCTAACCCAACCAATGAACCACTCTACCTGTGAAAATGCTCAAACTGATTCGCAGCCGGATTTCAGCCTGTTCTCTGTAAAATCAAAAAGTCATGCTCCCATCAATGTACCAGTTAATATCAACGGTAAGAGCATCAGCTTCCAACTTGACACTGGAGCATCGCTAACAGTCATAACAAAGAAAGATTTTGACGCTGTCACAGGAGGATCAGTGTCTCTACAGCCGTGTCACAAGTGTCTAACAACATACACTGGTGACAATGTTCCGGTAATAGGAGAGTGTATGGTTCATGTAAGTTATAATGGTCAAAGTGTTAAACTTCCTCTTCTTGTGGTTGAAGGAAATGGACCGCCATTACTAGGTAGGAACTGGTTAAGTGATCTTAAGTTAAATTGGGAGAGTATTTGTTCATTGAAGAATGTAAAAGAATCTAGTCTTACTTCACTAGATAAAGTTATATCTGAAAATAAATGTGTTTTTGGTAATCATGGATTACTAAATGATAGAACAGTGAAGTTAAGCATTAAAGATACAAATCCAAGATACTGCAAAGCTAGAGTTCCACCTTATGCAATGAGGAATAAAATTGAAAATGAGCTAAGTAGATTGGAATCTAATGGCATTATAAAGAAGGTAGACTATTCCGATTGGGCGACACCCATTGTGCCAGTGTTAAAGAAGGATGGTTCTATAAGAATTTGTGGAGATTATAAAACTACACTGAATAAGCAAATAGAGCTAAATAGGTACCCTATACCTAACATTGAGGAAATTTCTTTGAATTTGGCAGGAGGAGACAAATTCACTGAATTAGACTTTAGTCATGCTTACACTCAACTAGAACTGCATCCAGATTCAAAAGTCTATACGACAATAAACACACATAAAGGACTCTACCAATATGAAAGACTATGTTTTGGCATATCATCTAGCCCTGGAATTTTCCAAGCTGTCATGGACAGTATTTTTAAGGACATTCCAAATGTTTGTGTGTACTTTGACAATGTGTACATAACTGGTAAGAATGACACTGAACATCTTAAAACACTTGATAAAGTATTGAAAATTGTTGGTGAAAAAGGTTTAAAGATAAACAAAGATAAATGTCAATTCATGCTGACAGAAATTAGTTTTCTTGGTTATATATTAAGCAAGCAAGGTATCAGACCTCAACCTGAGAAAACAAAAGCCATTAAAGAAGCACCCAAACCTGAAAATACCCAACAACTAAGAGCTTTTTTGGGCTTGATAAATTACTATGCAAAGTTCATAGGGAATCTGTCTGGTAAACTATCACCACTGTACAAGCTGCTACAGAAAAATGCAACTTGGCACTGGGGTAAACAACAAGAAGCTGCTTTTAATACAGCAAAAGAGGCTTTGTCTGCTGACACCTTACTAACTCACTATGACCCAGGGAAAAGACTTGTATTGACATGTGATGCTTCACCAGATGGTGTAGGAGCAGTCTTGTCCCACATGGATGAGAAGGGTGACAGACCCATTGCTTTTGCCAGTAGATCTTTGAACCAGGCTGAGAAAAATTATTCTCAGTTAGATAGGGAAGGCTTAGGCATCATTTTTGGTGTTAAGAAATTTCATAAGTTTCTGTTTGGTAGGAAGTTCACCATCTTTACAGATCATAAACCATTGCTAGGTTTATTTGGAGAAAACAAAACCCTACCTGAGCATGCCTCACCAAGAATTCAAAGATGGGCTATCACACTAACTGCATACAATTATGAATTGAAATACAAACCTGGATCTGAGAATAGTGCAGATAGTCTTAGTAGATTACCTTTAAAAAACCAAAGCCTGAGCTATATACCAGAAGATGTATTTGTTCTCTTCACTATCATGGATAACTCCAATATAAATGTGAATGATATTAAAAGAGAAACACAAAAAGATGAGTGCTTAATAAAAGTATATGAGTACTGTAAGAATGGTTGGCCTGAAGAGTCAGTGAATGAGGACTTAAAGCCATATAAAATAAGAAAAACAGAGTTAAGTCTAAAAGATGGAGAAGATGCAGTCCATTATCAGTCAGAGTTGCCTAAACAAAGTATTTGTAACTTAATAAATGATTATGGTGATATGGCAATTTCAAATTCTTTTAAAGAGAATACATTAGTAAGAAGGAATGTGATCATCAAACAACTTTGCTAACATCATTAGCACTTACAGAAACTAAAAGGGTAACATCAAAAGAAGAAAAAGATTTTTGCAATTTAATACACCCATTTCAAATACTGGATCACAGTTGCAAAGTGATATGGTCCAGAATAGTACTTTTAAACAGTATTTTTGGTTACCAGGAAAGCACTATCAGATTACCTGAGAAAATTGATCAATCAAAGAAATCTATGTCAGTCAAGGATCTGAATAACAGCATAATACTTTCAGATGCCAATTCAAAAATAGTTCCATTAGATCATGACAAACATTCATTGAAAGAGAATTTGGTGTTAATAAGAATGTGTATCTAAGAAATTATGGGAGAAAGGAAAAATGGATACCAGGTCAAATTGTTCAATGTACAGAACAACTTGTGCAGATAATAAGTGTGAATCTGTCAATCCCACCAAGTCTGATCAGTTCACACCAACTCAGTTTGTTTCACAACCAAGTTCTGTTGATATGAGTGAACCAAGTTGTCTGGAGTCAGAAAATGTAAATTCTGGAGTTAATGATTTAAATCCTAGACCTCCTGAGATAGAGAATCCAGATGGTCAGAATATTGAGTCACCAAATCAAAAGCCACTGAGAAGGTCAAGCAGGACAATCAAGGTCCCAAATAAGTTAGACCTATGATTTTAAAGGTCAAAAGGACTTTGACATCATTGTTTTGTATCTTGATTATGTTGTGGCATATTGTGCATTGTTTGTAAGGATGTAATCTACCATAATGTTCATGTTACAATATACTTGGTGATTTTAGGATACTATCAATTGTTCTATTGAGAGATGTGTTATTGTGTTCTAAGGGTAAAGGGATGTAATAGATTGAAATAATTGTGAGGTCAAGGGAACTCACTCTTCTGTATTAGTTATATTGATAATATTGTTATCTTGAGTGATGTCCCTTGTGTACTTCCTTCCGCCTCTCTCTGGTATTACCATCATGATGTAGTTAGACCCATTAAATGTGTTATATACAACCACAGGCTTCTGTCGTCAATCTATTATAACTTGGTCTAAAACACGCCAAGGGTTTTAGAAAATACCAAAATACATTTCAAATCTTTCAAAAAAGAAAACACCACGAGTATGCCAGACAAGCCAATGCCCACTATCTCTTTTCAGACGAAAAAGAAAGAAAACGAGAATTATCGGCAGTCGCTTTCATACCAATCACACATATACAAATACAATAAAAAACACAAATACCTTCACGCACGAGGTGAGCCCACACAGGAACTGACCTGATCTACATCTCGCCTCGGGTCAAAAGAAAGAAATTATCCGAGCGGTAAGTTTTTACTGACCGCTTCGTGCGGAACCGGAAACCCTGTAGCCGCTGTCAAGTGGACCATTCACGCAGATTCGCACACAATAAAATAATACAAAATAAGACATCCATTCACCCGCTCACACTAACATTAGTAACAAACAAATGTTGTCCGACACTGACCTTACCTAACTTGCAAGTACAAGGTTTGGAGCATCACAAGAGAGTAAAATACACCCCAGCATTCAAAACACATTGGCCTCATTGGAATTTACATACAGAAACTGTTGTGAGAAAAACAATAATAATAAAATTTGACACACACTTTAGCCATTTTATTTTATAAAATTTTCACGTTACAATTTGTAATAATTCACTACTATAGAATTTAGATTACAAGGCTATTTTTTTAATAGTAAGGAATAAAAAATAAAATAATAACAAGCCAAAAATTACATTACGTTGAAACTAAGATACCAAAATGTAACAATTGCAGCTCTAGTATTTCTTTTCTTCAAATTTATAATTTTTATGCTGTTTTTGTAAAAAAAAAAGTTAATGTTAATTTATGACATTGAAATGTGTGGTTAATCTTTAAATTGTAAAGCCTTATGTGAAGAAATTTATTTTATTATCTTTTCAATCACATAGTATGCAGAGAGGAGTCTGAGATTTGGCATAAAGTTCATATTGACTTGAGGTGTAAAGAAAGATAAAATCTATATATAACATGTTACAAATGCATTTAATTTAATAAAATAAAACATTTAGCAAAATTGGTTTTAAGGCATGATGAATTTTTTGACTATAAGAAGTAAATTTAAAAGAAAATATTTCCTTACAAACATCACATTCCTCTGTCTTATAGAATGAATTTTTTTTGAGTATTTAAATTTGAGAAAACCGTTTGTGAAAAACATCATTTAGACTACAACTTCTAGAAAACCTTTAATGACATATACCACTTTCATATAGCTTGTCTCATAAATGAACTTTTTCATGTGCACTTAATTGAGAACGTTGAAAAAACCATTTATGGCCAAAAAGTTTTTTATGTGTAGTTAAACTATTCTGAGTAAATCATTTAGGATTAACATCAAATTCATATGGATTTTTTCCCAAATGAAAAAAAATTGTCTTAATAAATCACACTTACAAGCAAATTTTATAGGACAAACATCACATTCATCATGTGGCCTTTCATCTGAATGAATATTTTTGTGTTCTTAAATTGGAATATTGAGAAAACATTATATTATATTAAACATCACATTCATGTGGTTAATCTCCTGAATGAACCTTTATATGTATCCACAAATTTTTTATGACAAACATCACATTCATGTGACCTTTCTAATAAATGAACTTTTTAATGCTGTAATAGATTATTCTTATTTGCAAAGATTTTATGTCAAACATCACAATTATACACCTTTTCTCCTGAATGAATCTTTTTATGTTTACCTAAGTTAGAACTTCGAGTAAACCTTTTAGGTCAAACATCACAATTATACACCTTTTCTCCTGCATGAATCTTTTTATGTCTACTTAAATTAGAACTGTGAGAAAACCTTTTATGACAAACATCACATTCATGTGGCTTATCTCCAGAATGAACATTTTTATGTTTTTTTAAATCAGAATTTCTAGAAAACCTTTTATGACAAACATCACATTCATGTGGCTTATCTCCAGAATGAACATTTTTATGTAATTTTAAATCAAAATTTCTAGAAAACCTTTTATGACAAACATCACATTCATGTGGTTTATCTGCAGAATGAATAATAATATGTTGTAATAGATCTTCCTTCTCCACAAAGATTTTATGACAAACACCACATTTATGTGGCCTTACTCCTGAATGAATCTTTTTATGTTTACCTAAGTTAGAACTTCGAGTAAACCTTTTATGACAAACATCACATTCATACGGCTTAACACCAGAATGAACATATTTGTGATAACTTAAACCAGAACTATGAGAAAACTTTTTATGACAAACATCACATTCATGTGGTTTATCTCCTGAATGAATATTTTTATGCATTTTTAAAACAGAAATTCTAGAAAACCTTTTATGACAAACATCACATTCATGTGGTTTATCTCCTGAATGAACATTTTTATGCATTTTTAAAACAAAAATTCTAGAAAATCTTTTCAGACAAACATCACATTCATATGGTTTATCTCCAGAATGAACATTTTTATGTCGTAATAGCACTTTCTTATTTGCAAAGTTTTTATGACAAACATCACATTCATGTAACCTTTTTCCTGAATGAATCTTTTTATGTTCACTTAAGTTATAACTTCTAGAAAAACTTTTATGACAAACATCACATTCATGGGGTTTATCTCCTGAATGAACTTTTTTATGTTCTCTTAAATGAGAACTTCTAGAAAACCTTTTATGACAAACATCACATTCATGTGGTTTATCTCCTGAATGAATCTTTTTATGTCTTCTAAACTGAGAAATTTGAGAAAACTGTTTAAGACAAATCTCACACTCATATGGCTTATCTTCAGAATGAACATTGTTATGCATATTACTTTTAGAACTTTGAGAAAATGTTTGATTATAATAAACAATTTTATTTCCGTTGTCCCTAGACAATTGTAGATTTTCTTCAAGTCCATTTTCTTGTTTATCCTCAAAAAATAAAAATTCTGTTGTGAAATCTTGTTTTAAATTTTCAGTAGGTGATAATTCTGGTTTTAAATTTTCAGATGTTGAAAATACTGCTGATGCAGCTGGTTTCTTATTAATTTTTTCAATTGAAAATGTATTATCAGGTTTAACATCTTGATAAGTTTTAAATGACATGTTAGGTTTTAAATCCTGAACATTAAAAAATGATAATTCTGGTTCTATTTTTATGTCATTAGAAGAAGAAAATTCTGAACTAATATCAAGTTTAACATCTTGAGAAGTTTTAAATGTCATGTCAGGTTTTATATTCTGAGAATTATAAAATGTCAATAATTCTGTTTTGATGCCAGCAGAAGATGAAAATATGGTCGATAGATCTGGTTTCAAATCTTCAGAAGATGAAAACTCTGTCAATTCATTTGACTGTATATCTACAGTAGATGAAACTGCAGCTAACACATCTGTTTCCACCTCCATGCTGGACAGCTTCTTAGATATGAACTGATGATTTAAAAAATGTAAATGTTAAACTGGTGATTAAATAACCAAAACAACATATTACTAATAACATGGCAAAATTTGTAACACATGCCAGACTTTTGTCAGTCTGATTACTAATGATTACTCAGTCAGATGTAATTTAAAAATAGACAACCAGTAATGCAAAGTAATCAGGACTGCAGATCAATATCTGAAGCAACAAGTCCTTAAAAATTATTGTTAAAAATAGAAATAGTAAGATATTATTGACAAAAATCAAAACTTGATTTGCTTTTGTTAGTTTCAAATGTAAGTAATAAGTGCTTAATCTTATCCAAATATGTAATAAAAGTGTTAAAATTAATTTTAATTACAGTTCTAAACTGTCATAAACAGCTTAATAAACACTTGATTTCTTTAGACAGCTTGGCACTAATTTGCACTTTTTGTAGTTTTGTGACAATATTTGTACACAATAGGACTGGTAAGTTCTTGTTCTCTCTCACTTAAATTCAAGTCCTGTTAGCCGAGGAGAGATAAAAAAAATTGGAACTAAATCAATTGTTGTGAACAGGATTTATATTGATAACAAAAAACATTGACACCAAAGAGACCATTATTTAAAGTTTTAAGCTACTCAAACTGTACCCATGTTTACGCTTGACCTTCAATGTCGGAAGCAAAAAAAAAAAATCTGCCAAAAATAGCTTTGTCATCTTCAGATTGCTTAAAATACGCGAAAAAAACGCCATTTTTCGCGTGATAATTATTTTTAAAGTTAATGTTAAGGTGGTCTCTCGAACAAAGCAGAAAAAATTGCCCAATCGTAGGCCAAGGTGTGGTAGCCATGTTCTGGTTAGCAACCATGGACGCTTTCAAGTTAGTGAGACTCGCTACTATTAATATGGTCGTCTGTATGGGCAATGGTTTGATCGACTGTTGACTTATTATACAATTCTATTTTTATATCATAGTGAAGATGTTAGTCTTTAGTCTTTAGTATTATGTACAAATAAAAAAGTCAATAATACACGCACCTGCTTTAGTTTATTTTGACTTCAAGCACAAGAGCGACTTTCCCTCGTCCGCCTCGTGAAAGACAAAGAAAGAAATCAGGTAAAGCTAGCATTATTAAAATGTTAATTATTAGCCCCGTAATTACATGGGCAGTTTCGATACAAATCTATCCGATTACGATACGATCCTTATTTATAAGTATCATGTACTTCATGAGAAAGAAAGGATTCGATATTTTATGTCCGCCCAAAACACGGTGGCTACGAAACCGCGAGAACGAGAATTCATGAATCGAAAAGCCTAGTAGATCTATAAAGTAGATCTAATAAAGTACAAATGTTTTTTAAAAAAAGTTTGATCTTTCTGCATAATCGGAAATGATCAGAAATGAGTCTCAATCTCTACTTAACTACTTAACTAACTACTAGATCTAGATTCTAACTACTTCACTTTATTAGTATTAGTAGGCTACTAGTACTAGATCTAGATAGTTACTAGTAAATACTAATAGGCCTGCTATTTAATATTTAAAAAAAAAAATATTATATTTATTTACAAACTTACTAGACTACTTCTAGATCTAGATCTAGGCCTACTAAATAATACTACATGACACATGAAGTATTTTGTTAGAATATTAGGTAAAACCTTAGTTTAGCGTCGGTTATTATTCCGGGATGGTATAGCAGTAAAAAAATAGTAAAACAATGGCAAAGTCTGTCACACAGTTCCGGAAGTACTGTAAACCATACTTTATTTGGTGTCATCTTTTATTTTTAATACAGATCGTTTAAAATTTGGATAGATTTATTTTAATTGCGTGTTAAATATTATTATTCATTTTGTATAGGCCTAACTAGTTATTTTTAAGTGTTTCAGCTAAATATTTCTGCTACTAAACATTGTTTAACAGGATTTGTACGCAGTCTGGAAAAAGTCTTGAATTTAGAAAAGTGAATTTCATTAGACTTTAAAAAGTCTGGACGGGTCTACACTGTCTGTGAAATGATGTTTTTTGCTGGATATCACAGAAGAAACCCGATTTCTCAGTTACTACGTCATTGGGGGAGGGGGGGGGGGGAGGGGGAAGTGTAAGACCTGTCTTTTTGTTGTTGTTGTTGCGTGACTGACCGTGAAAATGTTTAGGGCTAGACCAGGGGTCTCCAAACTTTTCAGTCCGAGGGCCGCATTAACTATTAAATTTCAGTTCGGGGGCCAGTTTCTTCCAGGTATGTCTTTGATTTTTCTGGGCAAAGTTCCTCAGCCTTCACCAACAAAAGTTTTTTCCGTGTACGAAAAGATCTACGCGGGCCGGATGAGAGGACATCACGGGCCGCATCCGGCCCGCGGGCCGTAGTTTGGAGACCCCTGGGCTAGACTAACCCACCCCTCCTAGTAACTAAGGTCACTGATAATAATCACTGATATCTAAACGTGTATGAACTCACTGTGACCCCTAGTACGTAGATGGTGCTGTTTAGCTAGATGAGGGAGGTGGGGGGAATAAAAGTTACGGTACAGTTCATGATATGTCGTATTAGACTGGGCTACTGTGACCTCACAGTGACCCCTCCACCGTCTCTTGTTGTGTGTGTTTGGGAGGTGGGATACCGGTGGTTTTTAATAGCAGACAAAAGTTTCTCAGCTATAACCACAACATGGTTACAAAGGTCTTGTTTCATTTTCAAAATAGGGTACGAACCGTTTCTAGTCACTTTTACTATTTTTGTAATCATTTAATCATTTTTAATATTTTCATAATCTAGATTTTTATTTACTTGGCCTAGCAGCTAGCTAGATCTAGATTTAATTAATTAATGGCAACAAATCCGCTGCAAGCCAAAAACGTTAAATTATTACATTTGACTTCATTATTTAATATTTATATTTATTATATTAATATATATTTCTTTTCTTTTTTAGATCTACCAATTTAAATCTACTATTATTCTTGTTTCCTTTTGTCGATTAAACTTTAAAAAAATTAAAACATTAAAAAATTAATTTGCTACAATCGACTTTCACTTTATTTATATTTAAATATATTTCAATGTTCAAATAAACCATGGTTTACCGTAACTCTAGTTACCGAAACTCAACAAACATTACCCGATAACTTCAGACGTTAAACTAAGGTTTTACCAAATATTACTTGTTATTAGTTTGTAATTGTAATATACTTTTGGGTAGGCTATAGGCCACTATAGGGTGATTAATACTGCTAAGAGTCTATACATTTATAGTATATCTATAGGTAATCTATCATCATTTAAGTACGTAAAATCGGCTGGCTAGTAATGTGAATGGAAGGTGACTCATTAATTTTAGTAATTATTGGGAGGATTTATGTTAGTTCACATCCAGTGACTGATTAAAACGCCCAGTGCTCTTGATATTTTTACGTTGAGTGCAATCTAAAAATAGGTAGCCTATCAGGAGTATAGTATTGATAGTATTGGTAACTATTAATTTTAATAATTTATAGGCCTAAATCAAAATTATAAAAATTCTAGCCTAAAAAAAGTTTCATCACAAATGTGTCAAATACATAATTGAATCATAGAGTAATAGTATGTAATATAACTAAAGAAGAGTGTAAATTGTCAATATAGAATTTTCAAATGTAGCTGTTATAAAATATTGTTTGTATTTCCCTGCAAGGACTACAAAAATATTTCTCATTCAGACTTTTATTAGAAGAAACATTAGTTGTCAGTAACATTTTCTGTCATTACTAATATTACAAGAACTTTACATTTTTAATTTAAAATAATTAAAGAGTATCAAATATTTCTCTTTCAGCTCTAACTGTTTGATCAAGTGAATACATCCTATTAATTTAATAACTCTAGCATTATAGAACAAAAGAAAATGAGAGAGCAAGTAGGTCACTGTGACATCTGTTCATGAACATTTTCATCTTTTGAAAGATTACGAACACATTGGATTAAAAAGCACACGTAAGTGCAAGCCATAGGCTGTTGTTTTTGTGATTTTATAGTTGCAGAGGAGCCGTTGTTCGCTACACATAAAAAAGAATTTCATCCAAAGGATAGGATGGCGTGTGAGTTTTGTGCTTATACCACCAGGAAATGGAGTAAGCTGAAAAAACATCACATTAAAGTTCATGTGGCTTTCTATAAAGAAAACATTGCTGCTGAATTACTAAAGAAAAACTTCAAAAAGAAAACAGTGTTATCTTCTTGTAAATTCTCAACAGATTACAGATTAACTTCTTCAAATTGTGGAAATGTTGAATTCAGATGCTCAATACTGAAGGAGGAAAAAAATTTATTATCAACTAATGAAAAGACAGCTGAGTTGTACCCCACTATATTCAAACCGTGTGAAAAATTGCAGATAAATCATAAAAATCAAACAACTGGACCTCAAAAGTTACAGTTATATGAATGTGCCCTGGAGAATTGTAAAACTTGTCAACTATACCATAATGGTAAACAGAGAGGCAGCGAGCCTCCAGCTGAGAATTTTGTGTGTGACATTTGCCAAAAAAGTTTTAAAACCTTATCTCATTTGGCTTCTCATAAAATTGTGCACACTCCATTGAAATGTTACATATGTTGCCACTGTGATAAAAGTTTTAACATTGGAGATGAATATGATCTACACTTAACAACACATTTTAGGTATAAACCATTTAAATGTGAATTTTGTGAAAAATGTTATGCAAATAAACGTTATCTTAATGATCACATGAGATTGCATACTGGAGAATCAATTCACAAATGTGAGAAATGCAATTACATAACCACTCATCTGTCTCGGCTAAAACAACATCAAAAGATTCATCTAAACCTTCAATTAGTTGTTGGTTTTGAAAATGTACAAACTTGTGATAATTGCCAGAAAAGCTTTGTTTCTTTAGCTCACCTGTTGTCCCATCAACTGATGCATACACCTTTGAAGCTTTACATAAGTAGTCATTGTGGCAGAGGCTTTAACTTACCAGACGAATATGACCTGCACCTTGTAAAGAGACATTTCAAGTACAGACCTTTCAGATGTTCATTGTGTGAGAAATCTTTTACCATCAAAAAAAATTTAAGAGTTTACATGAGCATACACACTGTGGATTTAATGTATAAGTGTTCAAATTGTGAATACACAACAAATGATAAAAGTCCTTTCTCAGAACATAAAAGAGTTCACATGAACAGTAAGCCTTTCACATGCAATGCTTGTGACTATTCAACAGCTTCTAGAAGTTCTCTAAGAGGTCATTTAAGGACTCACTCTGGTGAGAAGCCATTTTGTTGCAACCTATGTGACAAACGATTCAGTCAATATGTAACTTTAATCTCACATAAACAGCATATTCATCTAGTTTAAACATACTACTGAAGACACACTACAAACAGTGTTATGATGTGTAGTTAATCAAGGTATGTTGGTGTTGGTGTGAAAGATATAATGATGACATAATGATGAAAGATAGTGACATTTTGTGTAGAAACTGGTTGCTGTGTATTGTGCGTGTGAGTTAATCTTAGTCTTGGTGAAAGGGTGTATATGACCAGTGTGACTCAGTCAGTAGCGAGAATTGTGAGACATTCATATGGATGACGATTATAAGCAGAATGTGTATAATAAATTACTTACTTACTTAATCCTCATCACTCCCTGTGGAGTATAGGGCAGCAACAAATCTCCGCCATTCCACCCTGTCCTGGGCGAGCCACTTTAGTTCATGCCAGGTTTTGCCAGTAGCCTGTACTTCTTCTTCTATCTCCCTCCTCCATGTTCCCAGTGGTCTTCCTCTATTTCTCTTTCCACTTCAGCGCCATGTTGGGGAGTCTTTTTTTTTGCTCATGCGTAGGACATGGCCCAGCAATCTCCATCTCCTCGTTCGAACTTCTGAAACAATGTCGTTTAATCCTGTCCTTCGCCATATTTCCTTGTTTGGGACTTTGTCATCCCACTTTATCCTGAGGATGCTTCGGAGGGATCTTCTTTCAAAGCCTCTGAGTCGGCTCTCTCCAGAATGTGTATAATAAATATCAGAAGAAAAACCTATTTTCATCTTGTCAATAAATTGTCACCTGTGTCGTCTAGACGTGTAATGGTATAATGACTGCCTATGTTGTCTGATATTCTCACATGGGGGGGGGGGGGTTGTAAAATGTTTAATCTGCTCAAGTTACAGCTATTTCCAACTGTGGGCTTGTGTCTCTTTCAAGGCCATCATACTGTAAATTTTTTTTTTTTTTTACTTTTTATAAGTTTTTTTATATCTGCTTGTCACATATCAAGAAATGTATTGTGTTATTTATTGGAAGTCTGTGTTACCTTCTTTCTATTTGAAGCTTATCTGAAGTTTTGGTAACTGTATTTTCTTATATAACTAGTAATTTGATTTATGTTGACACATTTACTAGTAATAGTTAAGCCGTTTAGGCTTTTATATTCTTGTCTTTAACATATGATAAAGCTTTTCTATTGCTTATGATACACATTGAAATTTATTGGACACATAAGAAAATAAACTTGTTAATTAACAGTTTTTCTGAAATATCTGCAGCGATGTAACACCTCGTCAATCTCTGTTGAGGCTACATCATAGGATTAATTTAAACCCATAACGAGACAAATGGTGTTGAAAAATTACACACTTGATTCTTTATGTCATCTTATCAACTTTAAATGTAATTATCAAACCAATACAGCATTTTGATAGTAGTGACAGTTTAATTTTGGATGATGACTGTTACACTTGCTTTTCTTTTAAACTTTTAATATTATTTAAGTTATTTAAGTTCCTGTAAATTATCAAACTTTATTTAAATTACCACAAGTTCTATCAATTTAAAAAAGCATTAGTATTTTGCAAAATTAAGGTCTTAATGTTTTGTACTGGGCTTTGTGCATCAGTAGAAGTGATGTCACAATTAGCAGTCTTTTAACACTATCTTAACCAAATTCTCCTCTTTATTTCTAAAGAGCTAATTATTACACAAATATTTTTTTTTAATTTTCTGTTTTTTTTTTTAAATTTACATTAATTTGGTTTTAAATTGTCAATTAAATAGTTAAATTCTGTCTAATCTGAAATATATGCCTATTTCTGTTTTTTTTATTTACCTGTTGGATTCTTTAATTTTGTTAATTATGTTTATAAATTTTGACATAAATTTTTCTCAGCTGTAAACATTATTGTTGAGATTCATTTCTAATTGCGTTTGTGTTGAGGTTGTATTTTTCAAATTGTATGTGGCCAGCTATTAACTCTTTTGTTAAATAAACTCATAGTATTTACAAAATTAAGTCTCGAACTTGAATGCAGGTTAAATTAATGTATGTGGCATGTGGTTAAATAAACTAACAGTATTTTCTAAAATAAGTCTCGAGTTTGAATGCGGGGTAAAGTCAGTAGAATGTTCTAGAGTTCACCCAGCTCTGATGTGTACCTGACTAACATTATGGAAAGCAAAGACGGCTGGGCATAGTGCTGACCACACTATCCCTTTAGGTGCTGAAGTCTCTGAAAAATGAACTCTACTTCATGTTCTTGGACACGAAAAGAAGATGATGATGATTTACATAAAGACTAAGAACAAATGACCATATTTCATTTGATGAGACTAAACCTATGTAATTGACCATATTATCTATGTTATGATGCATGTTTGACTGGGGAAATCGGTAAGGCACGATTGATGGTGCGGCCGTATATTGAACGAGTGAATGTGTGACGAGATAGGAAAGATAGTGACGTTTTAGGTTAGAGAGTTGGTTGCTATGAACTTGTGGGTGAGTTAGTCGAATCCTTATTGTTGGTGTGAATGGACGTGTGTTGATTGACAGGACTCAAGTTGAGAGATAGGGTTTAGGAAGATAGACATATGTAGGTACAAGATTAAAAGATTCGTACAAGGATTTCTTGGTTCATCTTATTTCTGATCGTTTATCGTTGATCTGTCTGAATATAATATAGCCTTAGTGGTTCTCAAGGTGTAATACTCTCTCCCTGGTATTGGAGAGGAGTCAAATGGTTGTTGGCTGAGTCAAGTAAATTAAACCCTCTCACTACACTGCAACATAGCGCAGTAGAACAGCAACCTAATAACCATAACCATCTATCTACCCTTCCCTAGGTCAGTGCAACCATGGTGAAACCCACGGTGGTTAAATCTTATCCTTAACCTTAGTCTAAATAAAAACACAAACCACTACAAATAAAACAAAAAAACTAAACAATTTACAGAATTTATTGCATGAAATAAAATGGTACAAAAAAAAACGTAAACATTAAGTCAAATTCAAAACATCCTAATGCAACACTAAACAATCACCAAACAAAACACAACGTTGAATGGGATATTATGTACCTTCGGTACCTCAGAGTCTAGGCTCTGAACACACAGGCAACCATCCTTACCAGTGCTGACACCGAAACGCATTCTAATATCCGCACCAAACATCAAACAAAACAATACATACAAAACAATACGTCCTAAACACTACGTACAAAACAATATATACAAAACACCCAGCCAAGTTGCACACACAACCTCACTGGAAGGGGGTGGGGGAGAGAGAAAAAAGAAAAGGAAAACATAAGAAAATGCATGGAAAAATATATACATCAATATATACATATGTTTAAATACTACTGATTACTACTAAAGATATCTAAAGCCTCGAGTAAAGTACTAATCCCACATACTACCGCTAATCCTAGAATTCTAAATCAATTCTCAAAACCACAATTAATCACTAACCAATAAATTAGCCAATTAAAATAACTTGCAATAAAAATCATCATGGTAGAACCAATCTATCCTACACAAGGAGCAGCACGAAGCCATTGGTCTACCTATACAACATCCACATTGATAACAATACAGTTAACACACCCCGCTAAGGCCCCAAATAAGGGTAGACACAAAGCAAAAAATTCTGTCTTTGTCGAATAGTTAGAGGCGGACACATACGAATCGTTCAGCGGGCACCATGGCGCCCGCGGGAACCCCTGGCCTATATGAATAAGTGAAGAAAATTATTTTATTATCTTTTCAATCACATAGCATGCAAAGACGAGTCTGAGATTTGGCATAAAGTTCATATTGAGAAGGTGTGAAGAAAGATAAAAATCTATATATAACTTGTTACAAATGCATTTAAATAAACTTTAAAAAAAAACATCTAGCAAAAGTAAGAAAGTGACCATAAGCCTTAGCAATGGTTGGAGCAACATGAAACTTGGGGTTAGTTCCATAAGACATGTAAATAGTGGGGAGGGAGAGGAAGTTTTTACATATGGTCTGTTTGAGTTATACATTGCAGCCAGTAGAGTTTGGTCATAGGATTTGTGATTCTATACCTCTCAATATAATGATTAAAGGCATTTAGCAAAAGATGAAAAAGTTTTTACAAAAATATTTTGTCTGCTCGGAAGTTTTGATGTCACCGTACCTGTTGGCCAGATGCCACTGTGACTGCCGGCCTGATGTCATTGTACTTGTCTAATGTAGGTCGTATTAACTGTTAACACGATATTCTGTCATGTCACTGTTTGTCCGATTGAGCTGTTAGTGAGTAGTGTAAATACTATAAAGTTAAGAATTGTTTAACAGTAGGGCCTACATATATTGTAAACATCTAGTAAATGTAAATAATACATTAAACTTGAACAGCGTGTTTTATTTTAATTAGCTTCTGTTATTGTTAATGTGTAATTGGTTTCATCAGGTTCCTTATCCCAATGAATGTGCATTGTCAACTTTATATAATCTGAAACAGGCAAATTAACTGTGTGGCCTGAACAAAATCATGCTGGTATAAAAATAAAACCCTCGGCCCCTAAAGTGATAGCTTACTTCTCCTATCATACATATTTACAAATAACACACAAAGAAGTAGGATACTTAAAGAAGAAATGTACACATGCAGCTGACAATAGGATGCTACTTCCTTTTACAGTCAGAATACAATTTCTTTTTCGAGTATCTATAATAATTGACGAGGTATACTCTTTGACAAAAGAAGCTTTTTATAATACAAATGTTTATCAACTATGGCTCACTATTGGAAGTTATGTGCAGAGAAAAATTATAAGAAATTTATTAATAACAATTTGCTATAGATATTAATTGTTTATGTTAAAAAATGATTTTAAATTGGTTTTAAGTCATGATGAATTTCTTTGACTATATAAAGTAAAATTATAAGAAAATATTTCCTTACCAACATCAAATTCCTCTGTCTTACATATAGATCTAGAATGAATTTTTTTAGACTATTTAAATTTGAGAAAATTGTTTATGTAAAACATCAATTAGACTACAACTTCTAGAAAACCTTTAATGACATATACCACTTTCATATAGCTTGTCTCATAAATGAACTTTTTCATGTGCACTTAATTGAGAACGTAAAAAAACCATTTATGGCCAAAAAAAAGTTTTTTTATGTGTAGTTAAACTATTCTGAGTAAATCATTTAGGATTAACATCAAATTCATATGGATTTTTTCCCAAATGAACAAAATTGTCTTAATAAATCACACTTACAAGCAAATTTTATAGGACAAACATCACATTCATCATGTGGCCTTTCATCTGAATGAATATTTTTGTGTTCTTAAATTGGAATATTGAGAAAACATATTATATTAAACATCACATTCATGTGGTTAATCTCCTGAATGAACCTTTTTATGTGTTCTTAAATGAGAACTATTTGAAAACCTTTTCTGACAAACATCACATTCATGTGGCCTTTCACCTGTATGAACCTTTTTATGTCTTCTTAAATGAGAACTATTTGAAAATCTTTTCAGACAAACATCACATTCAAATGGCTTATCTCCAGAATGAACAATTTTATGTCGTAAGAGATCCTGCGTATCCACAAATTTTTTATGACAAACATCACAATTTTCTCCTGAATGAATCTTTTTATGTTTACCTAAGTTAGATTTTCAAGTAAACCTTTTATGACAAACATCACATTCATACGGCTTATCTCCAGAATTAAATAACTATTCTGAGAAAATCATTTAGGACAAACATCTAATTCATATGGCTTTTCCCCCAAAAGAACAAAATTATCTCTTAATAAACCACATTTCCAAGCAAACCTTATAGGACAAACATAACATTCATCATGATTCAGGTGGCCTTTCCGAATGAATCTTTTTATGTGTTCTTAAAGTAAAATTTCTAGAAAATCTTTTATGACAAACATCACATTCATGTGGCCTTTCACCTGAATGAACCTTTTTATGTTTACTTAAGTTAGAACTATCTAAAAACCTTTTCTGACAAACATCACATTTATGTGGCCTTTCACCTGTATGAACCTTTTTATGTCTTCTTAAATGAGAACTATTTGAAAATCTTTTCAGACAAACATCACATTCAAATGGCTTATCTCCAGAATGAACAATTTTATGTCGTAAGAGATCCTTCATATCCACAAATTTTTTATGACATACATCACAATTATACATCTTTTCTCCTGAATGAATCTTTTTATGTTTACCTAAGGTAGACCTTCGAGTAAACCTTTTATGACAAACATCACATTCAAATGGCTTATCTCCAGAATGAACATATTTGTGATAACTTAAACCAGAACTTTGAGAAAACCTTTTATGACAAACATCACATTCATATGGCTTATCTCCAGAATTATATGCCTTTACTTCTGAATGCTTCTTTTTATGTGTACTTAAGTTACACCTTTGAGAAAACTTGTGATGACAAACATCACATTCATATGGCTTATCTCCAGAATGAACATTTTTGTGATATGACAAATTTATCTTCTGACTAAACTTTTTATGACAAATATCACATTCATATGGCTTTTCTCCAGAATGAACATTTTTATGTATTTTTAATTCACAATTTCTAGAAAACCTTTTATGACAAACATCACATTCATGGGGTTTATCTCCTGAATGAATCTTTTTATGTGCTCTTAACTGAGAACTAGAAAATCTTTTATGACAAACATCACATTCATGTGGCCTTTCTCCTGAATGAACCATTTTATGTTCTCTTAAATGAGAACTTTGAGAAAACCTTTTAAGACAGACCTCACACTTATATGGCTTATCTTTAGAATGAACATTGTTATGCATATTACTTTCAGAACTTTGAGAAAATGTTTGATGATAATAAACAATTTTATTTCCGTTGTCCCTAGACAATTGTAGATTTTCTGAATGAACTTTTTTATGTCTTTTTAAATTAGAACTTATAGAAAACCTTTTATAACAAACATCACATTTATATGGCCTTTCTCCTGAATGAACTTTTTTATGTTCTCTTAAATGAGAACTTTGAGAAAACCTTTTAAGACAGACCTCACACTTATATGGCTTATCACCAGAATGAACTTTTTTGTGTAATGATAAATGTATCTTCTGACTAAACTTTTTATGACAAACAGCACATTCATGTGGCCTTTCTCCTGAATGAACCATTTTATGATTTCTTAAATAACAAATATGAGAAAACCTTTTATGACAAACATCACATTCATGTGGTTTATCTCCTGAATGAATCCTTTTATGTGCTTTTAACTGAGAACTAGAAAATCTTTTATGACAAACATCACATTCGTGTGGCCTTTCTCCTGAATGAACCATTTTATGTTCTCTTAAATTAGAACCTTGATAAAACCTTTTATGACAAACATCACATTCATGTGGTTTATCTCCTGAATGAACTTTTTTATGTATTTTTAAATTAGAATTTCTAGAAAACCTTTTATGACAAACATCACACTCATATGGCTTATCTTCAGAATGAGCATTGTTATGCATATTACTTTCAGATCTTTGAGAAATTTTATATTCGTTGTCCCTAGACAATTGTAGATTATCTTCAAGTCCATTTTCTTGTATATCCTCAAAAAATAAAAATTCTGTTGTGAAATCTTGTTTTAAATTTTCAGTAGTTGATAATTCTGGTTTTAAACTTTCAGATGTTAAAAATTCTGCTGATGCAGCAGGTTTCTTATTAATTTTTTCAATTGAAAATGTATTATCAGGTTTAACATCTTGATAAGTTTTAAATGACATGTTAGGTTTTATATCCTGAACATTAAAAAATGATAATTCTGGTTTTACTTTTATGTCATTAGAAGAAGAAAATTCTGAATTAATATCAGGTTTAACATCTTGAGAAGTTTTAAATGACATGTTAGGTTTTATATCCTGGAAATTAATAAATGTCAATAATTCTGTTTTGATGCCAGCAGAAGATAAAAATATGGCCGATAGATCTGGTTTCAAATCTTCAGAAGATGAAAACTCTGTCAATTCATTTGACTGTATTTCTACAGTAGATGAAACTGCAGCTAACACATCTGTTTCCTCCTCCATGCTGCACAGCTTCTTAGATATGAACTGATGATTTAAAAAATGTAAATGTTAAACTGGAGATTAAATAATCCAAACAACTTATTACTAAAAACATTGCAAAATTTGTAACACATGCCAGACTTTTGTCAGTCTGTTTACTAATGATTACTCCGTCAGATGTAATTTTAAAATAGACAACCAGTAATGCAAAGTAATTAGGACTGCATATTAATATCTGAAGCTACCAGTTTCTTAAAAATTCTTTTTAAAAATAGAAATACTAAGATATTAATAATAAAAATCAAAACTTTAATTGCTTTTGTTAGTTTTTAAATGTAAGTAATAAGTGCTTAATCTTATCCAAATATGTAATAAAAGTGTTAAAATTAATTTTAATTACAGTTCTAAACTGTCATAAACAGCTTAATAAACACTTGATCTCTTCAGGCAGCTTGGCACTAATTTGCACTTTTTGTAGTTTTGTGACAATATTTGTACACAATAGGACTTGTAATTTCTTGCAACAATTGTAAAAACTTTCAATGCTATTTTATTCGTATGGCTGGGAACTAATATATGTGCATGCATAAAAGTTTTATGTATATGGATTTATTAATTTGTTTACAGGTAGTGCAACGAAGGCTAGGGGACGATACTGTCACTCTTCTAAACTAGCTTAGCTATTTTAACCCTTTATTTACGGAATAATGTTCTGCATGAGATTTTTACTTAAACAATGCGTTACTATATTGCTTTTGGCACATTCAAAGCATATTTCGAAGGAAATTTCGTTTCATAAATTTGTAATGGCCCAAACAGATATTGGTACTTATAAGTACCGTCAGTAAACTAGGACATTTTTTTTTCAAAAAATTTTTTTTTACAAAACAGGAACAAACGATACAATTTATTAACTAATAACACGGCAATCATTATAACAATCACTTTTTGTAATTTTCACACATAAATATAGCACAACAGTATATTTAGAACACGATTTTTACTGGATTTTCTATCGGAACACATCTTAGACCTCAAACACAGCAAAAGTAGTCAACATGTCATGCTTCCTCAATCTTGTCTGTGGTCTTTCTGGTGTAGCAATGGTTGCCGGAATGAATATTCTTTTGCTGGAAGCTTCCAATAACTAGTACAACGAGCCGCATAAACAAACAAAAGCCTAGTCATTCAGCACACAACTACTAGTAATACTAGTATAATTGTAGCCTACTAGAATGTTATGACAAGTCTACACCTGACGGTACTTATAAGTCCACTTGTAAACATCGATCTAATACAAAGGCAATTTGATTAAAAGTATATAACTAGAAGTTAAACTCGTTTACCTGACTATTGAAGGTGCCAATAAAAAATATTTGGGGTTGAAAACTTGAAAAATAAGGTAAAACAAAGGGAAATCAAGAACATGTGTGAGAACTGTCAGAAAAATTGATAACTACCGCTATAGCAAGACATTGAAAATGCCGCCACACCAGTAATTTTCAAAAAACATTGATCCCACCGACTACCGGCGACTCAGGGGAGACAATACTATTAATTACTTCAATAATTTAAAATAATTCGTATTAAATTAAAAATAATACAGGCACTTAATTAAAGTGGTACTTATAAGTACCGTCAGTAGATAAAGGGTTAAACTACGGAATGAACACTACACCAATGGTGTCCTCTTCCAGTTTTAGAATATAAAGAAATGAACTATTTCATTCAAATTTGACTTAGATCTAGATTTTATAAATTTACTTATCAAGACCTACACTATGTATACAATTTTCTCGGTCAAACTAATGGAGAGGTTGCACACACATGACCAAAACCACATGATGTTTACATCCACAGCCGTGTTGATGCCCTAGCCCAGCACTGGTATTCTCTATGTATTTTATATTGCTAGTCCCTAAGTTTATTTTAAAAACTAGCCTCCCACAGAACAGTAACAATATTTGAAGGAACTTAAATTATTCAGGAACCTATTTTTTTTTTTATTTTTGTCCAGCTGATAGACAATATGAATATAATAAATAACTGCCAAAATGTAAACATCTATCGGAATCTATCCAAACAAAAGTGAAAGCCACAACTCCAGAGAGTCAGCCTCAAGAATACCCAAGATTCTAGAAAGTTCAACCTCACAACAATCGTTGTGGTCTTGGATGCACACTATTAAGTATGAAAACGTCTATTAGTCATTCATGTCAACTATATTGAAAAAAAAAGGAAAAACTATACAGGCATATATTAAAACAATACAAAAAAATTTAATTAAACAAAAAAATCAACACACCAGACATGCAAAGAGATAATTCTTCAAGGGAAATCACTCTATTATTGTTTTTGAAACATGGCCTCTGTTTGTATTTACTCATTGTCTCGAACGGGGTAGTTTAAAGTTTATTCCAGGATATTTTTGGCTGGTTTGGTCATAGATTGTGATTTGTTATTCAATTATCTGTTATATTATGTAAAATATGTAATAAATATGGCCAAATGAAAGAAATATTCATTAGTTACCTCCAGCGCACAGTACTAGCTAGTAGCTACTTTGGAAATTATGATGCTAAACTAAGGTTTTACCGAGAAGAGTTATGATGACTATTATTAGTTAATCTCCTTACCAAAACCGGAAGTCAGAGCCTGACCCTGAAATGTCATGCTCTTTTGGTTTTTGCATTTTAAGTGTTTTTGGGGGGGTCCTATATACAAAAATGAAAAAACTGCTAATCTAGCGATATCTCATCATTATTTTAATGCGAAATGCTAAGGAAATGGATACTATGGCTTAAATGCCAGAAAAATTTGCGAGATATGTAGTTATAATTAATACAAGCAGGAGAAACTGAACTTCAACGAAAAACGACCGACCACCGGGCAACAGCGCTCGACAGCTCCTAGATAAATATATGTTTCAGATATTTACCATGATAAATTACATTGATGATGTTTCCCCTTTCCAAAATCCAATTCAACATAGAAATACCATGCCTCTGCTATTTTTAGTAACGTTATGTCATTGTTACGCTAGTTGTCAGATAGAAACAACTAATTTTTCCTTTTTTTTGCGGAATGCACTGTTAAGTCTAGTATTTTAATTATAATTCAGTTGTAGCGTGTGTAGAAATTGTGGACATTATTATTGTATTAAAGTATAAGAAATTTTATAAGTATATTGATGTTTTCCTTCACTGCAAGCCAAGTAGGCCGACTGCACTGTTAGTTTTATTGAACATAATTCGTGACCGGTCGTTAATCTTGTAAATACTAGATCTAAATACTTTGTGGTCTACCCGACTGCATAATTTATATGAAATTATATGTAGTTTTTAATTAGGCCTTAGTGTTGTATTTTAAACAATGCTCATTCCGAGCCTTTTTTATGCTAAATCTAATTAGGCTTACTGGCAATTTTTTTTATTTTTAGACTTGGTCAACCTCGTAATGCTGTTGTGTTAGTTAAACATATATAGGAACTGTGTGTAAAATTTACGCAGTTACTCAGTTACAACGTAGTACGATATCAATAAATAAAGTAGTAGGCCTATTTATTTCCTTTTAGCAATCTTTTGATACAAAATGTCTAATATTTTATTTTCCAATACATCGTAGTGTGTGGCAGAGTAAACAGAACGGTGCGGTAGGTGACCTAGAATCTCCGAGTTGGAATCCGAAGTAAACAGTTGTGCTTTATTTTATTGTTTCACATAGGAAATGCCACGAGCGGCTTTATTTTCTTTCTTTTTTAAAAATATTTTTTTGATCGAAATAATATTTTATAAAATAATTATTCAAGATTTTCCAAACATCGTCGCTCGCATCGCTCGCGAGATCGACTTCTTACATTTTCTTGTCTGCGGGAGAAAAATGTTGACACGGTCGAGGGTTTACCATGAGTTCAGCAGGCCTACCATAACATATGTCACAGCATTAACGATTGAGATCGTCTGTGGGCAATCCCACCTAATGCTACTACAGAAGAGAAAAATAATTATAGAGTATTTATTTTAAAGTTTTAAAAAAAGTTGATTTATCATCTTACCTAATACTGTATTGTCTTAGAATGCCTAGATCTAGATTTCTGTCAGATCTATTTTTAGTTTTGGATATTAATTTTATTATCATCTTCATGGGTATTGATTGTTCAATTTATCATGGAAGGCCTAATGTCTTAAATTGTACATTATACATAGAATTTATAATAAATATGTCTGATATTTCTTTAATAAACATAATGAATATAAAGTTTTATTTCCAACAAAATGTTTTGCTTTTTTTTTGGTAACTAAAATACCCAATGTTGTCGTAATTGCTATGACATTATGCTAGGAATGGACAAAATAAACCAACGTAACTTTTTGAGTTTTTTTGATGGTGAAAAAGAGTTTCGCATTTTAAGAAGTTAATTGGTCATTTTGTTTTTGTTTGTTTTCTTGGCCCCTAATTAAGCTAGACCATTAAATTTGGTCTCAAATTAACCAGTAAGTGATATAGTTTGTAATGATATATCATAAGTGACAGACAATTTTAATTAAAAAATTTAATAAGAAAACCTACTATTATTGAGTAATATTATTATAATATGAGATCTGATCCAACTTTCTCAGCCATCGGCATAATTTTACCCCACTAAGTCAGTACTAGAGGAGCTTACACTTTTCGGACACACATAGCGAAAAAACGCAACGTAAAAATTCCATGCGGTCTCATTCAGTAACCGCTTAACATAGAAAACAAAAAAAAGTATCATATCTATCCGCAACCATTCTATAGTGACTGGGGGGTCTTAACGTGTGTTCGAACACATGTAATACAGTTTTACATGTGTTCGGACACCTTTACCCGTCATCGGACATAGCACTTTTTGTTCATTTAGAATAATTTAAAGTCAATTTAATGAATAAAAACATATATTATATGCATTTATATTGTGTTATTGATTGTTTGTGAGGTAATTTTAATAGTATAAAACCTTTTTCCCACACTCCCAAAGTTCATCCCATTCAGCCATTGCGGCTCGCGCAGTACGCTGCTAAGCCAGCCAGGTCACATGATTCCCCCTCCTCTTTCGCATTCCACTGCCTTCTTGACCTTATTTTGACCCTTTCCCTTCAATAATCAGCCCCTTTTATGCTCTAAATTCTTATTTAATAATATTTTTGTGTTGCTGTCCGATCCCATGTAAGGTCAAAAAAGTTAGCGAACACCCCTTTTTTATTGTTCAAGCACAAAAAAACCCATTAACCTTGACATTTACGATGTTCCATACATATATAGAAGCTATTTATAGTGTAACCTTTTAGCTAAGCATTGATTGGTTCAAGTTTTGCCCCTAAGTCCAACCCTAGGTCACTTCATCCGGCTGGTGTAAAAATAGAAATGTGCGTACCATGCAACGTTAAAAAATTTCTAAAAATAATTCTTGAGAAAGGAAACGGAAGTACTTGACACGGAAGTGTTCATAAATGAACAGTTTACGTGCAGGCGCCGTGGTTTCGCGTGAGACATGCTAATTAAAGTTTCTATGAGCCAAAAACCGACGAAGTGTTTGGTCCTACGTAATTTTTGGTGTGTGTCCGAAAAGTGTAAACTCCTCTACTTCTACTACATTAACTACACTACTTATACTACACTGAGTCACACTCCATTGATAATCTGGATTTTAAATACTTAAATGTAAGCTCGAAAAACGTTTTTTTTTTCTCTGGGGAAGTGTTTTATTATTACTCAATCAATCAGTCCGTCAAAAGTTTTCAAAACCCTTCACCTTTTCCGGAATCGGCGTTTAGATTATTATAAAATGGCGTCCTATGAGGTTTTTAATATGGTCGTCTGTACGGGCAAAGGTTTGTTTCGAACGTTGATTTATTATACAATTCTATTTTTGTATCATAGTGAAGATGTTATAATAGTATGTACAAATAAAAAACTTAATTATACACACACCTGCTTTAGTTTATTTTGACTTCAAGCACAGGAGTGACTTTCCCTCGTTGGCCTCGTGAAAGACAAAGAAAGAAATCAGGTAAAGCTAGCATTATTAAAATGTTAATTATTCGCCCCGTAAATACATGGGCAGTTTCGATACAAATCTATGCGATTACGATACGATCCTTATTTATAAGTATCATGTACTTCATGAGAAAGAAATGAATCGATATTTTATGTCCGCCCAAAACACGGTGGCCACGAACGAGACTTCACAAAGCGAAAACCCTAATAGATCTAGAAATCTATAAAGTAATAAAGTTAAATAAAGTCTAGATTCTAGTGTCTAGATACGACGTAGATCTAGGAACCTTTTTTTTCTACATTTACTATATTATAGGCCTGCTATTTAGTCATTTACTATTTATTTAACAAACTTACTAAACAATACTATTACTTAGGGACTTGGATGAAATTTCATTTTTAAAAAAATAAAAAATGTAGTAGCACCAGTTTATAGAGCTCATTTAGACAAGAACAAAGATACTTTTATTTTAATTTTAGCTCAAACGGTTACGAAGTTATGAATTTTTAATGTATTTAATTTTCGGGTTTTTTTACTATGGGGTTTTCTCAATTTTTTGCTTCCCTACTTTTTTGGATGCGAACTAAAATCTCTGTAACTTTTTAAATAGCAGGTATTTTTTAATGAAAATTCACTAAGATCAAGCTTATGATATCAGTAAAAGAGTAAGATAAAAATAATTGAATTGGATGAGAATGATCATAAAAAATAATGTAAACAAAGAGGGTCACCCCCCTAAAATTTTTGAATAAGCGTATTTGATAGGCTACACACAATCTGTTGCCAAATTTTTATTATATGGAATATCTTACTGAAAATTGGCCTGAATAGTGCCAACACTGTATACCTTAACAGAAAGTCAAAATATTTTACTTAGCTTATGTGGTTTTATTACAATGTTGGACAAAATAAAAAAGTCATTTTTATTCTGCGCAACTACTTTTTTTGCAAGAAAGAAGTACAATGTTGAGCTGATTTTAGATTACTTTGCTTATATGCAAGAAATATTGTAAACATGAAGGTTATTATATACTTTGATATTTCCTTTGTTCAAATTTGATTTTAAAAATATTTTATTTAATGAAAAAGGGGTTTAAACTCATATACCCCCCTTAATTTTAAACAATAAATTCTGCTATAGGCAACACATAATCTGTTGCCAAATTTTTATTATATGGAATATCTTAATGAAAATTGGCCTAATTGGTGCCAACATTGTATACATCCACACAAAGTAAAAATATTTCACTTAGCTTATGTGGTTTTGTTACAATGTTGGTCAAATTTAAAAAGTCATTTTTGTTCTGCGCAACTACTTTTTTGCAAGAAAGAAGTACAATGCTAAACTGATTTTAGATTACTAAAATTGTATCTAAATGTTGTCAATATGCATGATATTTCATCCCTGTTATGTGTATGTTATCATAGAATTGATATAATTTAATTTACAATTATTGTTGAACAAATAATTTAATAATTGAAATGATTTTTTTTATTGGTGGAGTAATGATCACCATTTAATGTTAAAGGTAAGTTTTATAATTAAGAAACATCTGTCATATATTTAAGTGACATCTCATGCTGTGTGGATAACATGTGTAAGTCTGTTAGCTTGTATCACTTTTTTACTTTAAAAAATAACACCATCAATGATTTAAAAATGAAATCTGATTAAACATCTACTGAAGCTGTGTCTCCTCTGACTGATAGCTTTTAGAACTGTAATAAAAACCAGCAACATCCATTCTTAAGTGGACCTATTTCTCCTTCATTGAAGTTGCTTATGAGTAGATCCACATCTTTTGATTCTCTATCCCCTTGTGAACTGGTACATTTTATCTAGGGCCAAGACTAGTAAAAACAACTGAGATGTATACTACAGCAAAAATACAGTAGTATCATATGTACTTCAAATAGGCCTACAGATGAAGACAGAACATTGTACAAGGATTGTAGTAATTTAGTAATAAATCTAAAATGAACAAAGTCCTAGAGCTATAAAGAAAATATAGGACTCCTAAAATGTTTGAATATTAGTAATATTGGTAATAAAAATTCGCTTGAAAAGCAATCAAAAGGCTAAATGTTTAATATAGAATTACCCTATTGGCCTGTATCTTATTATAAAAAAATTTATAGACCAAATGATAGGCAAATGGAATTTTATATTAGATTCTAGATCTAGGCCTAGATCTATATCAAGCTTTAAAATTTAAGAAAAATGTGGAAAGTACACAAGATACTATAATGATAGCTAATATAAAATATAGAACTCATTCAAGAACAATATAGATCTATATCTAGGCCATACAATTAAAATGAAACAATAATTCAACTTGAAAAATTTCGCAGAAATCTATTTTTAGATCTAACTCAAAATTACAAAAAAAATGAATCTAAATAGAAAATATGCGCACAAAGTCAACAAAAAATCATAGTTTTATCAATATAAAATATAATTCTATAGTTTAAAATGATTTTAAAGTCAGATTCGTGTGGATGTTGCTGGATTTACAAATCAATTCAATTGAGAGCAATGGCGTCATTAACAACACAAGTACACTTCCGGTTTCAACCTCTGTCTTTCCCGGTAGTCGTAAAATGGCTTAAGGCTATACTTTCTAAACTATTTATAAAAAAATACTTTGCTATCGATTAACATTATGAAAATTTACACACATAAAGAAAAATGGTGATTATGGTCGGAGGGCTTTTTAATGGCCTTCCTTGTTAGTAAGTTTTTATGGTACAAAGAGTTTTACGTAGCCAAAGTTTGGCTCCAAAAATCCATTTTCACCTTCAACAAAATCTCAAAACAAAAATACCGTAACATATGAAATCCATTTGTTTTTCAGAATCAGTCATCAAATTATTAGTAGCATCGGCGATTTTTAATAAAAAAAATTTTTTTCGATCATCACCCGCGACCGCACGGCTAAATCGACGAAACTCGGTATGGGCAGAAAACTCTCGTTTTTAGTGCCTCAAAATCTACGTCATCCAAGTCCCTACTATTACTACATGACACATGAAGTATTTTACAGTAAAATTTAAAATTTTTTACTATTTTGTTAGATTATTATTTACGAGCCGGCCCGCGGCATAACATACGCCGCTATTTAGTTGTTTCTAATTTTCAATAATTCATAATTTGTGAATTCGACAGTACCAACACTGACACTGAAAATATTTCTTTAAAACACTATAAGTAGCTCGTTAAGGACCATAACCCCCCCCCCTTCCTTCCCCCCCCCCTCCCCCCCCCCCCCCCCTACGTTTAAAATCGTTGGCTCTGCTTGTAAACATTTAGAGTGAACACAGCTCACTAAAACCATGTAGGGGTTGGGAGGTAGGGAGAGCGTTTGCAGCTTGTATTCTAACGGCTCGAAGAAGAGAATTATATATATAGATTAGGCTACGTGTTATTAGTTTGTATTATTAATTATACTTTTGGGTAATTAATACTAATAGTGTAATAGTCTTATACATTTGTAGTAAATTTATAAGTAATCTATCATCATTTTATATGTGACTCAATAAATTTTAGTAATTATAAGGAGGATTTATGTTAGTTCACATCCAGTGACTGATTAAAACACCCAGTTCTCCTTGGTATTTTTAATATAGTATAGATGCGATAGTATTGGTAACTATTAATTTTAATAATTTATAGATCTAGGCCTAAATTAAAATAGTAAAAATTCTAGATGATCTAGCCTAAAAAATGTTTATCACAAATGTGCCAAATACATAATTGAATTATAGAGTGATTAAGTAATATATTGTATTGAAAGAACAGTGTAAATTTTTGACATAAAATATTTAATTTGTCATGAGCTGTTATAAAAATCTTAGACATCATGTCTTATTTATATATATATAATTCTCTTCTTGTAGACCCTAGAAAACACCAAGCTGTAAGCCCGCCTAGCAACTTCCTCTCTAGGCATATCGCTACCACCTCCATCCCAACATGGTCTGGTGAGCTGTGGTTCACGCTAAATGTTTACAATCATAGAGCCGGGTTTAGTGACTGCTAGAGGGCTGGTACCAGCCATATTAGGGGCAGATAAAACGTTTGAAATGAATTTAAACTTAGGGGAGGGAACTAAAAGGAGGCTGCTTTCACTGGGGGGGGGGGGGGAGAAAGAAGGGTTTTAGTGTTTTAAAGCAAATATTTTTAGTGGCAGCATTGGTACTGTCGAATTCACAAAGGATGAATTACTGAAAATTAGAAAATAAAACAATATATGGCGGTGTATAATACGCCACGAGTCTGCTTGTATTAAATAATCAATTAGTAATTTAACTATTAAGCATAATTTTAAATGTACAGTTGATATTTAATAGACTATTTAAATTAATTAATTTATTTTTTGAATGACAACCATATAGCGAAACAACATAATTGTGCCCAACCATTACTTACATTTAACATAAGGCAATTATTTATTATTATAATATAAATAACCAACTGTACATCAAGCCTCTAAGCTGAAAGTAACTACTAAAAATCTAGAATAGTGATGGAGCCTAACTATTTTAAAATTTAGACTGTCTAGCTCTAAAGAAGATCTTTTTGTTTAAATGTCACTATTTGTGTTTCCCGGCTAGGCTGAAAGAAATATTTCTTATTTAATTTATTAGAAGAACCTTAGTTGTCATTAACATTTTCTATCATTACTGATATAACAAAATTTTAAATTACATTTTTAATTTAAAATAATTAAATATTATCAAATATTTCTCTTTCAGCTCTAACTGTTTGATCAAGTGGATACCTCTGATTAATTTAATAACTCTAGCATTATAGAACATAGAAAATGAGAGAGCAAGTAGGTCACTGTGACATCTGTTCAAGAACATTTTCATCTTTTCAAAGATTACAAAAACATTGGAACAAAACGCACACAGAAGAGCAAGCCATAAACTGTTGTTTTTGTGATTTTATAGTTGCAGAGGAGCCGTTGTTTGCTAAACATAAAAAAGAATTTCATCCAAACTATCGGATGGTGTGTGAGTTTTGTGCTTTTACCACCAGGAAATGGAGCAAGCTGAAAAAACATCACACAGAAGTTCATGTGGCTTTGTATAAAGAAAACATTGCTACTTGTTTACATAATGACAACTTTAAAAATAAATCTGTGATATCTTCATGTAAATACCCAACAGATTACAGATCCACTTCTTCAACTTGTGGAAATTTTGAAGTCAAGTGCTTAATACAGAAGGAGAAAGAAAATGTATCATCAACTAATGAAAAGACAGCTGAGCTTTACCACAATAAATTCAAAACATGTGACGAATTGCAGTTAAATCAAGAACATAAATTAAACATACCTCAAAAGTCACAAAGTTTAACTTGGCAAAAATGTGAATGTGCTCTGGAGAATTGTAAAGCTTGTCAACTTCCCCATAATGATAAAGAGATAGTCAGCGAGCCTCTAGCTGAGATTTCTGTGTGTGATATTTGCCAAAAAAGTTTTAAATCCGTATCTCATTTGACTTCTCATAAACTTGTGCACACTCCAATGCAATGTTACATATGTTGCCACTGTGATAGACATTTTAGCATCGCTAAAGAGTATGATCTACACTTAACAACACATTTTAGGTATAAACCATTTAAATGTGAACTTTGTGAAAAATGCTATGCAGATAAACAATACCTAAAAGCTCACATTAGATTGCATAATGGAGAATCAATTCACAAATGTGAGAAATCCAATTACGTAACACCTCATCTGTCTACTTTCAAGAAACACCAACTTATTCATTCAAATCCTCAAGCAGACAAATGTGTTGAAAAATTGCACACTTGTGATATTTGCCAAAAATGTTTTTATTCTTTAGATCACTTTTTATCTCAACTGGTACATATACCTACCAAGCTTTATATATGTGGTCATTGCGACAGAGGATTTAACTTTCCTGATGATTATGATCTACACCTGACAAAAACACATTATAAATATAAGCCTTTTAAATGTACATTATGTGAGAAATCTTTCACCAAGAAAGGAACATTAAGAGTTCATACAAGCAAACACACAATGGATTTACTGTTTAAATGCTCTAAATGTGAATACACAACTAACAAAAAAACTCCATTCTCAGTTCACCAGAGAAACTACATGAATACAAAACCTTACAAATGCAATGCTTGTGACTATTCAACTGCTTCTGAAGGTACTCTAGTAAACCATTTAAGGATTCACTCTGGTGAGAAGCCTTTTTGTTGCAACCTACGTGATAAAAGATTTAGTAGGCGTTTACATTTACTCTCCCACAAACGGCATATCCATCTAATTTAATGGTTCCACTGACGACACACTATGCATAGGCTAATACTGCTGTGCCTGAAGAAATGAAAATTTATGCTGCAAATTTTTATTTTTCTTTTATTTTGACATCATTATTAAAACACTGGTGCTTTTTGCATGCCACTAATTCTGTTTATACCCAATCACAGTTAGATGTTGATTGTGGACGGGGGGGGGGGGGGGGGGGGGGAGGTGTTAAATCTGCTCAAGTTACAGCTATTTCCAACAGTGGGCTTGTGTTTTTTTTTATGTCATAGTACCACAAAGTATTTTTTTAACTTTTAAAAGTTTTTTGTAAAAGCTTGTCATATATTGAGTAATGTATTTAGTTGTGAATTCGAAGTCTGTGTTATCTTCTTTCTAATGTGAAGCTCATCTGAAGTTTTGGTAACTGTATTTTCTTATATAACTTTTATCATACACTTTAAATTTTTTTAGACACATAAGAAAATAAACTTGTTAATTAACAGTTCTTATGAAATATCTGCAGTTATGTAACACCTCATTGATAGCTGTATAGGATTAGTTCAAACCCATCGAAACTCGAAAGTGTTGTTTACCAGACGAATCGATGCAATTTCAGTAATTCATAATTTGTGAATTCGACAGTACCAATGCTGCCACTGAAAATATTTGCTTTACAACACTATCAGATGGTCGTTAAGGACGATACACCCCCCAACCCCTTAAAGCAAACTCCTCTTAGTTACCTCCCCTAAGTTTAAAATCGTTTCAAACTACATTATCTGCTCCAAATAGCCGTCACTAAACCTGGTTCTACGACTGTAAACATTTAGTTTAGCGTGAACCACATTTCACCAGACCATGTAGGGGTGGTAGGGAGCGTGCTTACAGCTTGGTGTTTTCTATCGTCTCCAAGAAGAGAATTATATATATATATATATAGATCGTGCACTTTTTGTGCAGTTGGGCTATACAGTTTAGGCCTATATCAAAACCATTGTTTTTGAGAAACGACTCACGACTGCAGAACATTTTTTATTTTACTTGTAATTGATAAAAACACAGTAAAACAAGTGTTTAAAATGTCAAATGTTTCTTTTGTAACTGGAGTCCTAACAAGCAAAAGTTATCTGACACTGACCTTACCTAACTTGCAAGTACAGGCTTTGGAGCATCACAAGAGAGTAAAATACACCCCAGCATTCAAAACACACTGGCCTCATTGGAATTTATGTTTATGTACATAAAGTGTTGTTTAAAAAAATAATAATAAAAATTGACTTACACTTTAGCCATTTTTTATTATTAAAAGTTTCATTAAAATTTCAAATGATTCACTATTTTAAAATTTACATTACAAGGCTTTTTTTTTTTAATAAGGAATATTAAATTAAAACACAATGAAAATTCACATGTTAAAACTAAGATACCAAAATGTAATGATTGCAGCTTTAGTCTTTCTTTTCTTCAAATTTATAATTTGTATGCTGTTGTTGTAAAAAATTAAATGTTAATTTATGACATTGAAATGTGTGGTTAATCTACAAATTGCATAGCCTAAATGAATATGTGAAGAAAATTATTTTATACTCTTTTCAATCACATGCAGAGAGGAGTCTGAGATTTGGCATAAAGTTCATATTGAGAAGGTGTGAAGAAAGATAAAAATCTATATATAACATGTTACAATTGCATTTAAATAAATTTAAAAAAAAACATCTAGCAAAAATAAGGAAGCAACCATAAGCCTTAGCAATGTTTGGAGCAACATGAAGCTTGGGGTTAGTTCCATAAGACATGTAAATAGTGGGGAGGGAGAGGAAGTTTTTACATATGGTCTGTTTGAGTTATACATTGCATCCAGTAGAGTTTGATCATATGATTTGTGATTCTATACCTCTAAATATAATGATTAAGGACATTTAGCAAAAGATGAAAAAGTTTTTACAAAAAATATTTTGTCTGCTCAGAAGTTTTGATGTCACTGTATCTATTGGCCAGATGCCACTGTGACTGCTGGCCTGATGTCATTGTACTTGTCTAATGGAGGTTGTTTTACCTGTCAACCTGATATTCTGTCATGTTGCTGTATGTCTTACTGAGCTGTTTGTGGGTAGTGTAAATGTGTAAAGTTATGAATGAGAATTGTGTTTCAGTACTTATATTGTAAGCATCTAGTAAATGTAAATAATACATTGAAATTGAACAGCATATTTTATTTTAGTTAATTTCTGTTATTGTTAATGTGTTTTATCAGAATTGGTAAACTCCCTTGTACCAATGAATGTGCATTGTCAATTTTATATAATCTGAAACAGGCAAATTGACTGCGTGGCCTGAACAAAACCATGCCGGTATAAAAATAAAACCCTGGGTCTCTAAAGTGATAGCTTACTTCTTCAATCATACATATTTACCATTAACACAAAAAGAAGTAGGATACATAAAGAAAAAAATGTACACATGCACGTGAAATAATAGAATAAATTTCTTTTTTACAGTATGTATAATAATTGTCAAGGTATACTCTTTGACTAAAGAACCTTTTCATAATACAAAAATGTATTAACTATGACCCACTTTTGGTTAACCACTAGTTAAATTTATGTGAAAAAATTTATGAGAAAAAAATTATAAGAAATTTAATAGTAAAATTTGCTATAGATATTGTTTACGTTAAAAAATGACATTAAATTTCTTTTAAGTTATGATGAATTTCTTTGACAAAAAAAAAAAACATTTCCTTACCAACATCACATTCCTCTGTCTTACTTATAGAATGAATTTTTAGAGTATTTAAATTAGATATTTTAGATAATCCCTTGAGAAAAACACCATTTAGACTAATACTTCTAAAAAATCTTTAATGACAAATACCACATTTATGTGGCTTGTCTCCTGAATGAACTTTTTTATGTGCACTTAATTGAGAACGTTGAAGAAACCATTTATAGCCAAAAAAAAAGCTTTTTATGTGTAGTTAAATAACTATTTTAAGTAAATCATTTAGAACAAACAGCAAATTCATATGGCTTTTTCCCAAAAGAACAAAATCATCTCTTAATAAATCACATTTCAAGGCAAACCTTATAGGACAAACATCACATTCATCGTGATTCAGGTGGCCTTTCATCTGAATGAATCTTTTTATGTGCTCTTAAATTAGAACTTAAAGAAAACCTTTTATGACAAACATCACATTCATGATGCCTTTCTCCTGAATGAACCCTTTTATGTTTACTTAAGTAAGAACTATCTGAAAACCTTTTCTGACAAACATCACATTCATGTGGTTTATCTCCAGAATGAATCTTTTTATGTGTTCTTAAAATAGAAATTTGAGAAAACCTTTTCTGACAAACATCACATTCATGTGGCCTTTCACCAGAATGAACCATTTTATGTCCTCTTAAATGACCACTTCGAGAAAACTTTTTATGACAAACATCACATTCATGTGGTTTATCTCCTGAATGAACTTTTTTATGTTCTCTTAAATGAGAACTTTGAGAAAACCTTTTATGACAAACATCACATTCATGTGGTTTATCTCCTGAATGAATATTTTTATGTGTTCTTAAATGAGAACTTTGAGAAAACCTTTTATGACAAACATCACACTCATGTGGTTGATCTCCAGAATGAATATTTTTATGTCTTCTTAAATGAGAACTTTGAGAAAACCTTTTATGACAAACATCACACTCATGTGGTTTATCTCCAGAATGAATCTTTTTATGTGTTCTTAAATCAGAATTGGTATAAAACCTTTTATGACAAGCATCACATTCATGTGACCTTTCACCTAAATGAACAGTTATATGTTTTCTTAAATTCGAACTATATAAAAATCTTTTCATACAAACATCACATTCATATGGCCTTATTCCTGAATGAATCCTATTATGTTGATTTAAGTTAGAACTTTGAGAAAACCTTTTATGACAAACATCACATTCATATGGTTTATCTCCAGAATGAAAATTTTTATGAATTTTTAAATCAGAAATTCTAGAGAACCTTTTATGACAAACATCACATTCATGTGGTTTTTCTCCTGAATGAATCTTTTTATGTCTTCTAAATTGAGAAATTTGAGAAAACTGTTTAAGACAAATCTCACACTCATATGGCTTATCTTCAGAATGAACATTTTTATGCATATTACTTTCAGAACTTTGTGAAAATGTTTGATGATAAACAATTTTATTTCCGTTGTCCCTAGACAACTGTAGATTTTCTTTAAGTACATTTTCTTGTTTATCCTCAAAAAATAAAAATTCTGTTGTGAAATCTTGTTTTAAATTTTCATTAGGTGATAATTCTGGTTTTAAATTTTCAGATGTTGAAAATACTGCTGATGCAGCTGGTTTCTTATTATTTTTTTCAATTGAAAATGTATTATCAGGTTTAACATCTTGATAAGTTTTAAATGACATGTTAGGTTTTATATCCTGGAAATTAATAAATGTCAATAATTCTGTTTTGATGCCAGCAGAAGATGAAAATATGGTCGATATATCTGGTTTCAAATCTTCAGAAGATGAAAACTCTGTTAATTCATTTGACTGTATATCTACAGTAGATGAAACTGCAGCTAACACATCTGTTTCCACCTCCATGCTGGACAGCTTCTTAGATATGAACTGATGATTTAAAAAATGTAAATGTTAAACTGGTGGTTAAATAATCAAAACAACTTATTACTAATAACATGGCAAAATTTGTAACACATGCCAGACTTTTGTCAGTCTGATTACTAATGATTACTCAGTCAGATGTAATTTTAAAATAGACAACCAGTTATGCAAAGTAATCAGGACTGCACAATAATATCTGAAGCTACCAGTTTCTTAAAAATTATTGTTAAAAATAGAAATACTAAGATATTAATAACAAAAATCAAAACTTGATTTGCTTTTGTTAGTTTTTAAATGTAAGTAATAAGTGCTTAATCTTATCCAAATATGTAATAAAAAGTGTTAAAAATTAATTTTAATTACAGTTCTAAACTGTCATAAACAGCTTAATAAACACTTGATTTCTTTAGGCAGCTTGGCACTAATTTGCACCTTTTGTAGTTTAGTGACAATATTTGTACACAATAGGACTTGTAATTTCTTGCAACAATTGTAAAAACTTTCAATGCTATTTTATTCGTATGGCTGGGAACTAATATATGTGCATGCATAAATGTTTTGTATATATGGATTTATTAATTTGTTTAGAGGTAGTGCAAGGAAGGCTAGGGGACGACACTGTTACTCTACTAAACTGGCTTAGCTATTTTAAACTACGGAATGAACACTACACCAATGGTGTCCTCTTCCAGTTTTAGAATATAAAGAAATGAACTTTTTCATTCAAATTTGACTTAGATCTAGATTTTATAAATTTACTTATCAAGACCTACACTATGAAATGTATACAATTTTCTTGGTCAAACTAATAGAGAAGTTGCACAAACATGATGTTTACATCCGCCATGATGATGCCCTAGCCCAGCACTGGTCTTCTCTATGTATTTTATATTGCTAGTCCCTAAGTTTATTTTAAAAACTAGCCTCCCACAGGACAGTAACAATATTTGAAGGAACTTAAATTATTCAGGAACCTATTTTTTTTATTTTTGTCCAGCTGATAGACAATATGAATATAATAAATAACTGCCAAAATGTGAACATCTATCGGAATCTATCCCATCAAAAGTGAAAGCCATAACTCCAGAGAGACAGCCTCAAGAATACCCAAGATTCTAGAAAGTTCGACCTCACAACAATTGTTGTGGTCTTGGATGCACACTATTAAGTATGAAAAGGTCTATTAGTCATTCATGTCAACTATATTGAAAAAAAAAAGAAAAATTACTATACAGGCATATATTAAAACAATACAAAATAACCATATTAAACAACAAAATCAACACAACAGACATGCGAATAGACAATTTTTCAAGGGAAACTACTCTATTATTGTTTTTGAAACATGGCTGCTGCTTGTATTTACTCATTGTTGTCTCGAACTGGGTAGTTTAAAGTTTATTCCAGGATATTTTTGGCTGGTTTGGTCATAGATTGTAATTTGTTATTCATTTATCTGTTATATTATGTAAAATATGTCATAAATATGGTCGAATGAAAGAAATATTCATTAGTTACCTGTATCGCACATTATAAGCTAGTAGCTGCTTTGGAAATTATGATGCTAAACTAAGGTTTTACCGAGAAGAGTTATGATGACTATTAATATTGATTAATATTATTATTATGAGACCTCATCCAACTTTCTCAGCCATCGGCATAATTTTACCCCACTAAGTCAGTACTAATACTACTACATGAACTACACTACTTATACTACACTGAGTCACACTCCATTGATAATCAGGTTTTTAAATGCTTAAATGTAAGCTCTAAAAATGTTTTTTACTCTGGGGAAGTGTTTTATTATTACTCAATCAATCAGTCCGTCAAAGCCCATCCAACCTCTTCACCTTTTCCGGAACCGGCGTTTAGATTATTATTAGCAATACTCACAAACCTAGTGGGAGTGGTTCGTTGCTAACAACAACATGGCTACCTAAGCGGATGCTTAGTTTCGGACATTTTTCTTATATGCTCAAGTGACTTTCTAGGAATTAGTTTTAAAAGGGTTTACCTCATGAAAAATCGAGTTTTTTTCACGTGATGTAAACTAATTATAGATGGCAGTGCCAAATATGCCAGAGAAACTCTATAAATTACTTTGCATAATGAAGACCGAAGGTAAAAAAGTGGTGCCGATAAACATTCGTATATCTTTTTAAATATTAGTTACTACGATGTAGATCGGTGACCGAAAGTACATCAATATTAGATATAAATATTAAATTTAGCAGTCTGTGGAAAAATAAATCGAATGTTACATGCGGTTTTTCTTTTTACAAATTCTCTAAAACAGTCAACATCAAAGGTCAAAATTGTATGACCCACATGACTGCTATTGGGCAGGAGACGTTTGTCTAGGTGGCCCTATCACAACTAAAAAGGTTGTATTCTTAATTTCAATGGATGCGTGGTCCTGGCATAATTTTTTTCAGCTTATTTTGCTAGCGTAATTAGACTAATTAAGCCTAATTATGGATATTTCACCTTGCTTTTGGATTATACTATGACTCTAAAACCACAACAATCTGTTATTTTTTTTTTTGTTGATCCCTGGAATTAGTATTTAGGCCTAATTATTTGTTTTCAAATTTGTTATAGCTTAATTAATTTGTCTTAATTCTTATTAATTTCATAAATTTTAATTAGGCTAATTATAATATTATTTTCACTGGTCTTCGTTGATACATTTATTAGGCTTAATGATGTTAATATTATTACGATTTTAGAGGCCTGATAAATTAAATGACTTTAGCGTTGGGTCTAAGTTTACATTACTAATTAGTACTTAGTAAACCAAGTACGCATAGACTAGGACATGTTTCGCATCGGCGAAACTTTGTGAATAACACACCTGTCCCAAGTCCAGTGAGAGAGGAGGGTTAGATTCATTGGTAATCTATCGTTTTGGGTACGTAAAATCGCCCGCGACTAGTAATGTGAAAAACAGGTGACTCCTTACATTTTAATAATTATTTCACATTTTGAGGAGGATTTATGTTTTAAAAATACAAAAATGTTTCCTTGTTTCATTTATGTACCTGTTTTTAAACAATTGAATTAAAACTTTTCAGTAATAAATGAAGACTAGTGATGTTTCCAACAGATGCAACCATGCTCATTAACTATAGCAGCCATCTTGTTAAAGTTTTATTTTTATAGACTTAAAGCGCAAGATTCAGGCGGAAGTCACTCTATTTTACAAATGGCTGCTGTTTATATAGCAAACCTTGCTTGTAGACACTGCTGTTTAAAGTTAATTTCTGGCCTATATTGATATATTTAGCCATTGATTTAGGTTTATTATTCATTTATCTTGTTTTATTTGACACAAACATATCACAATATACTTCTATTACAGCCTTGACAATGACGTAACGTTTTCGTACATTAATAGCCGCGGGCGATTTTACGTACCCAAAACGATAGATTACCGATTCATTTTACAATGAAATCACTAGAATTTTATAAATTGCCCAGATTAAGCATTGCTAAAACACTTACACTAGTTAATAAAACATGGATGGGATAGAATATCTTTGAAAAGTTTAGATCTATTCTATATTCTTAAACATATTTTATTGACGCATATTGGTCATCAAATTCATTAATCTGGGTTTAGTTTTCCTTTTTAAACATCCTTCCATTAAAAAAAGGAAATCAAATATTTTTAAAAATATAGATCTAGATCTAATTCCATCTTGCGATTTTTATTCTGACGAAGACAGTGTCCATATGAATAGAAATGTGGTAATAAAATAAAATGTACTGTGCATATTCTGCTAAAATCAAATCAGCTGCAAGGTCAACCCTGCAGAGTTCTTCTCTTCAGATAGGCATATGGTTGTCACGGATTGTTTGGCTTGCAATGCTGGGAGTGGCCAATGGACACCAGCGAGTTGACGAGATTCCTACCGTAATGTTGTTGACATGGAATAAAAATGTGCTTTTTTTAGTTTTAGGACCACAAAACTAATAAAAGATAAAATTTTATGAAAAACTTAAGCCTAAAATTAATTCAGAAATGTAATATTTTAGAATCAATGCTATACAAGTTGCAGATCCAGAGAACTTGAAAATAATTTGTTGAGTTTAAGGCTACATTTCTATTTATTTTCATCAAGCCTAAGTTATAACCCAATGTTTCACTTTTGTAAGACAAACATTGATTGGCTGTAAAGGAACTCCGTGATCGATTTCTGACAGCCCCACTTTATAGTTATTTTGGTTTACAAAACTTTGCAGATCAAGTTTTTAGATAACTATGCAAATTTAAACACCATGACCTATTTTTTCTATTTTTAGCTTACAACGTGTACATTACATGTGAAAACCAAATTTTTTTTGCTTTTTTTTTTTAAATTTTTATTTAGTTACCGAAAATTTTAAAAACATCAAATACACCCAATCTTTAGTAAAGTCCGAAAAAAACCATACAGACAGGATTTTATAACCATATTAATTGTAACTACGCCGTGCCTGATTTTTAAATTAATTTATGCTCCTCTCAAATACCTTTGAGACTTTTCTCGCTGGTGTCCATAAATAAAAATCAGTAATTAAGCTCCAAATGAGTTTATTATCAACAAATTAAGTATTTGATTGATTAGAGATTGATCTCTAGTTTTCATTGGTAATGTTTAAATCGAAAAATAACAAATTTTATAATTAATGAGTATCGCTATTATTAATTATTATAAAATGGCGGTAATCTATCGTTTTGGGTACGTAAAATCGCCCGCGGCTAGTAATGTACGAAAAAGTTACCTCATTGTCAAGGCTGTAATAGAAGTATATTTTGATATATTTGTGTCAAATATTATAGATAAATGAATAAATAACCTAAATCAATAGCCAAATATATCAATAGGGTAAAGGAGGGCGTTAAGAGCCGTGTGGTATTAAGCCCCAATCAACACCCCACCCCCACAAAACCCCCAATAACACTGCTAATCTACTTCTGAGGTAACAACCACTGCTGTTCTTTGATAACAGAGAAGCAGAGGATTAATTTTATGTAATTTATGACCCACTTGGTCCAATAGGGAGAGGATGAGACAGGATTTAATCCCACTGCTCTTTCCCTAAAATTTCTCATCTCCATAAAACCATTTTGTGAACTTTTTTTCCAAATAGACATAACTTGGGAAACTTTACTTTGTAATAAACCAAATGAATTTTTCAAGCCCATTCTTTGTTCCTGTATTAGAGCATTGGTTGTTGTACATTTTAACACTATTTTTATAGCTATGGCTAGAATAGTTTTATTTTGGTGAATTTTTTTTGCACAGTGATTATTGGTAAAAGTAAAGTTTCCCTTTCAAACCTGGCGGTCTATGGGGCAAGTGAAGTAGAGTTCACTTGTTTCTGTGACCTCGGCATATGAAGAGATAGTGTGGTCAGCA